GCCAAGTGGCCAGACTTTCCTATTGGGATGAAGCTCCAGTGGGAATCATTAAGAAGTTAAACATGCACTGGAAGATATAAGCAAATACATATATTCTGATTTTGAAATTCTCCTAATGTAGGGGAGTGATGAATCCTTATAGATTCTTAAAAATAATTATTTAAAAAATTATTTATTATTATTTAAAAAATTTGCCCTATGGCATGTGTACTCATCATACAGACAAAGAGAGAGAGATGGAGAGAGAGAAAGTGAGAAAGCAAGCCACCAGGTTCAGAACTTGAATCATAGTCAAGCATGCGGGAGTTCAGTGACCCGACCACCATGCCACCTGCTGGTGCCAAATTTTTCCTTATAGATCTTGTGCTAAGAGTTAAGATGTGAGCCTGAGGGCCTCATAGGGGACAAATAAATTTGTCTCCTTAAGAGGCAAGAACTCTTGACTGGAACTCTGGTATGATGTGTTTTGTCCATTTTTTTCCTTCTTCTAGGCATATGGTTTGTTTATTGTTCTCAGTGTAAGACCCCAAAATGATACTCATCCAGTCATATCATTACAGCCACTGAAACCAGGTCACAGGCCCATGAACTTATTCAATTATACTTTTATTATAAAATCTGGCACCCAAATAATAAATAAGGAATGTGAATGTGACTACATCACCATCGTGATGTGTGGGATGTGGTGGAGATGACCTTCCTTCTGCCCTCTCTGATGTGAGATCTCAGTATCACCAAGATGACTGTGTAATGCTGAGCATGCGTGCACGCCCAACATCCTGACAGGCAGTAGAAATGGAGGAGAATGGGTTGCAGAGAGACCATACTCTACTGGGGAGTATTTTCTCTCTTTCTCTGTCTCTCCAAGGGCATGAACCTTTTGGCAAAAAACTAAACCAAACAAAACAAACAAAACCTGTTGAATTGTACACTTTGCAAATGTAAACTTATGTCAGTTCTAATTCAATAAAGCTGCTATTTTAAATTTTTTATTTTTTAGATGACTGTGTAAAATATGAGTAGAAAGAAAATATAAACCAGCAGACTAATCCATTATTGAAGATCATCAGGAGTTTCACAGTGAAAAATATGTCAGTGTAGGCAAGTTTAAGGGTCTGGAGACATTGCAGTAGGAAGATTTTTTTTTTTTTTTGAGAGGTTTTTGCTATAGGGCACATGTGCTCGCTAGAAAGATAGAGAGAGAGAGAGACAGAAATCACCCACCAGAGGGTGGCCATGCTGCACTCCCTTCTCCATTCTCCTTTTGGGATCTTGGGCACTCAAGCACACGCGCCTGGCATGAGTTTAAGCCACTGGGTCTGGGACTCAAACCGCAGTTGACTACATGGGAGTCCAGCAACATAGCCATTATGCCAACTGCTGGTCCCTGCAGTAGGAAGTTTTGAGAACACTGGGCTCACAGAAGGGGAGTGGGAGCAGCAGAGAGTTCTGAATGACAGTGGACGAAGCTCCCCACCTAGCAGGCCATACTGAGGGCAGTTCTTCGCCCTCTACCTGCGATGGTATGTGGCACAGGGCCTTAGAGATGGCCATGTAGTGCTCAAACACCATCACGGCAAGAAGGCCAACATCTGCTACCCTCAGAAGGTGAAAGAACATCTGAGCGATACAGCCACAGAAGGAGATGGTCTTTTATAGTCACAAAGCACATAATTTAGAGAATTAAAAGGTACCTTAGAAATGGGAGAATAGATTTATACTACATGTATCTCAGAAAAAAGCTCATGTCCAGGGCTGGCAGGTGCCATGGTGGTTGAGGTGTTGGATTCTCACATGGCCTACTGAGGTTTGAGTCCCAGACCTGATGGCTTGCTTTCTTACTTTCTCTTATTAAATTAAAAAAAAAGTTCATAAAAAAGATAAACTCATGGGACCAGCAGATGATGTAATGGTTATGTTGTTGGACTCCCACGTAGTTTTCTATGGTTTGAGACCCAGACCTGGTGGCTTAAAACTCATACCAGGTGCATGTGAGCCCAAGAAGAGAACGAAGAAGGGATTGTGGTGTGATCATACCCCCTGAGGATGATTTCTCGCTTTTTGTTTCTCTGTCTCTCTGGCATGCACACACACCCTATAGCAAAAATCTAAAAAAATAAAGAAATAAAAAGAAAAACCACCAACGATAATTCAGGTACCAAATAGTACATTCTCTGTTATTTTATTCATATATACAAAACTGAAAAAAGGCTGAGGGAGGCTTCAAGGGTGTTGATAAAATTCTGTTTATTGAACTAGGTGCTTGTTAAAAGGTATAGTCAACTTGTATAGAAATTCAGTGACTGTACGCTTTGTGCATTTTTCTGTATGTAAACATATTGTATCTAAGCAAACAGTCAAAAAATCAACATATGGTAATTAATAACATTTTAATCTCTTATTTATAGTAAAAGTATGAGTGACTATGGTATCCCTGAGAAAGTATTCTGAGGAGGAACATGAATTCAGAAACTTTTTTTTTTTTTTAAAGAGAGAGATATTTTTGCTATAGGGCATGTAGGGTGTGCACACTTACTGGAGAGACAGAAAGCAAGAAATCACCCCCCCAGGAGGGAATGGCTATGCCACAATTCCTTCTCCTCCATTCTTTTGAGCACACATGTGCCCACTGTGAGTTTCTTTTTTTAAGAACTATTTATTCAATTTTATTTATTCATTCATTTATTTTAATTTGACAAGAGAGAGAGAGAGTAAAAGTGAGAAAGCAAGCCACCAGGTCAGGAACTTGAACCATGGTCAGCCATGTGGAGGTATCCAGTCCCTTAACCACCACACCACCTGCTGGTCCCCAATACCCAGTGTGAGTTTTGAGTCACTGGGTCCAGGACTTGAACCTCAGTCGACTACGTGGGAGTTCAGCGATGTAACCATTATGCCATCTGCTGGTCCCTATGGCAGCTCTTTTATTTAGTTCTTAGAGCAGGCGATATAAGCAAAATTGTAAATCAATACGTGGAATGTTCCTATTGGCCTGGCCGCAAAAGGAAGAACATCTAGAAGCGGGGGCTTGTAAATTACAGATGTATTTAGAAATGCTTAAAGTTAGTAATCAGTTGAAAGCACAAGACAGTCTCAAAAAGACTCAGAGACAGCAAAAAAGAATGAGTTTAACTTTAACGGAGATAAAAAGGCTTTGCAGCATGTTCACATGATGCTGTGGCAGAGTCAGGATGGGGGGAGTATTAATCACTGGACCAAGGTGCTCTGCTTTAGCAAGATTAACCCCCTGTTAACTAGCATGACTCGTCTCAGACATTTTAGGAAAAATTTGGAACAAAGAATGGCGGTCAGTTTCAGTCTTTAGGTCATTAAAAAGTGTCACCAAGCTTGCGCTCAGCTTCCCAGCCCCCACCCGTTCTTTGTCCCCTCTTACACACTCAGAGGCCCCAGAGCACATTCAGGACATAGCCTTTCCTTTAGAGGAAGCACAGGAGATAATGCATTTTCCCCATAGGAAAAATAAAGTTCAACCAAACTAAGAACCATACATCTTTCTCTTGACCAAAGTCATGCTGTGTACAAACAGCTGGGAGACGAAACTGAAATAAAAGAGTAGCAATGGGAAAAAAAAAAAAAACAAAACAAAGCTCATTGCTACCATCAGAGCAGCTCTCAGAGACTGAACTGTGTAGATTTATTCTGCTCAAAGCAATGCGTTCATTGCCTCATGCAATATATACATTGCCTCTTTACAAATACCATCTGAAAACTAGACTGGTTAGAGTTTTGTCTACTTCAACACTTCCTCTCTCTCTCCAGGGGAAAGAAATGTGAATTTTCACTGGTGAAGCCAAGCCAAGACTGACCTCAGCAAGACTGCAACTAGAAAGTCAGTCTGTGGACCATAGGAATGGATTGCTCCATGTATGGGGTCCCTGAGGTTCTGCCTCTGTCTAGGGACATCACGAGACTGTGAATATGATAGGCCTAGTTTCGCATTAAGATAAATACTGTGCTTTCTCTGCCATCGTGGTGTGTGCAGTCCACTCAGCTCTTTGCCATGTCTTCTCATAAGACTTTCAGAATCAAGCAGTTTCTGGTCAAAACCCAGAAGCAAAATCATCCTATTCCCCAGTGGATTAGAATGAAAACTGGTAATAAAATCAGATACAACTCCAAGAGGAGACACTGGAGAAGAACCAAGCTGGGTCTGTGAGGAACTGGACAGGATGTGGCCCACATATTTATGCTGCACCAAGGTCACTATGGTCTTGCCACATCAAGCTGAAAATGGTTACCACTGACTGGACACTTGGGGGTGTTTTATTGGAAAAGAAATGATGCTTCACTTTGTTTCTAAGTTCTGCATTGGTAGGTTGGTTCAGTAATAAATATGTGAGACCTTTAAAAAAAAAGATAAATACTGTTAGACCATTATAAGAAATCTTCCCAAACTTTTTCATTCCTCACAAGAATCCAAGAGAGCCAACAATATGGACCTACAAAGTTCTCAGTAGCTCATAAGGCCACATGCAGTTTTACTAGGCAGAGGCACTGATCATGAGATCCTTCTAGAACAGGACTACTATTTGGTATAGACCAGTCCAACAACATAATAAATTATATTCATTTGGTGGAAGAACAATGGCTTAGGTATACAAGAATGTCTCTGCAATGAACTTGACATAAGACCTTGAGCAAAGCACTTCATCTTTTTGGACTTTTGCTTCCTTACTTTTTTGGGAAAACAAAAAGGTTGTGCTTAATCATCCTATTTGCCTGTCTAATAGTTGTCTTGATTGATACATTGTTACTTTGGTCTTGTGGAAATGTATTAGTTGGCTCAGTCCTATAACTAGCTACTTCATACTGAACAGAAGCTTGAGTTATCATTTACAGACTGATTTAAATAAGAAAACAGTTACCTAGTAAGTGTAGCTGATTTACTGACAATGTACAATATCTGAGTATTTAAATAGGAATCTATAGGAAAATAATAACAGGAATCCTTGGTGATAATGAGTTAGGGATTTTTTTGTCTATTCCCGTTCAGAAGGGGCGAGTCTTCTTTTCAGTCTCCTCATGGCTGACTTCATTTCATGGTTCCTCAGAGTGTAGATCAAGGGGTTCAGCAGAGGGGAGATGACCGTGAAGGTGACAGAGATGGCCTTATCTGTGGGGAGGGCAGTGAAGGGCCGGGCGTAGACGTAGATGCAGGGCACAAAATGCAGGGTCACCACGGTGATGTGGGAGGTGCAGGTGGAAATGGCTTTCCTCCTGCCCTCTCCTGTCTGAGACTTCAACATCATTAGAATAACTGAGTAGGATAGAAGCAGGAAGATAAACCACAAGGTCGTGACCAGACCATTGTTGGAAATCATCAGGAGCTCCAGAGTAAAGGTGTCCGTGCAGGCAAGTTTGAGGACCTGGGGGACATCACAGTAGAAAGTGTCAAGAACATTAGGTCCACAGAAGGGAAGTGGGAGCAACAGAGAGATCTGCACGACAGAGTGGATGAAACCCCCCACCCAGCAGGCCACAATGAGGGCAGTGCATCGCCCCCTACTCATGATGGTCACATAGTGCAGGGGCTTGGAGATGGCCATGTAGCGATCAAACGCCATCACAGAGAGAGAAAAAATGTCTGCCCCACCGAGAAGGTGGAAGAAGAACATCTGTGTCATGCAGCTTGTGTAGGATATCGTCTTTGTCTTTGATAGGAGGTCCACCAAGACCTTCGGGGCAGTGATGGAGGAGAAGCAGATGTCAAGAATGGCTAGATTGCGAAGTAGGAAGTACATGGGGGTGTGAAGGCGGGGCTCACAGGTCACCGTCACCATGATGAGGAGGTTTCCTAGAAGAGTTGTCACGTACACCAAACATAGAAAAAGAAATAAGACCAAGCTCAGGTCTTGGGATTGAGTCAGTCCCAGAAATATAAATTCTTTTACTGTGGTGCTATTTCTCAACTCCATGACTCATGTTTCCTCTTCCTTCTCTATCTTGGAAAAAACCAATAGCGTTATTTCAGAGTGTTTACTCTCCCTTAGTAGATTCAGGTTTATACAGTCAAGTATTCAACACTCGTGAAGTATTGTCACCACATGAATTGCTAGCCCAAAAGTGTTGCCAGTGTGCCCCAAATGCCATCCTATTACACAATCATGCATTTCACTACGTTTTCTTCTGGAAACGACAAGTATTTTAGAAAATGTATAAAAATAAGTATATAATTCCTTAGTATTTAAGAGAAACAGATGGATGTTAAATATTCCAAAAGAGACCTGTAGCATGAGAAATGTGAAAATGAAGTTAGTTTGGTATGTGAATGGGGCCATGTGTATTTGGTGTGACTAGAACAGTTTGAGATCCACAGGGGGTGTTTTTCTTTTCTTTCCAAACTGAATGCTCCATTTAAATGGTGCTAAGAACTCCAATCTGCAAAATGGTCCCTTTTGGTTCTTCTGTAGAAGCACCCCTTCCTCATTTGTAAGTTGCAAGCTGAATTCCCTGAAAAATTAGAAAAGTTTAAAGCCATAATAGTTTTCTCTGTTCCTTTCTTTTTTCCTTAAAGGGACTTCTTTGTTCCTACCTTTACTTTAAACTACTTTAGGTATCAAAATCCCTGGGTAGCGAATAGCTCCTCAGCTATGGAAATAAAAGTATTTCTTAAGGTTTTTCTGCTGTTTATTGATTTAATTTCTTTCTTAAAATTATTTTTATTGAGCCACCATTGACATACACTGTGCGACACATATATGAAGTGGACACTTTGATAAGTTTTGATGGAATTTTACACCCATGACACCATCACTGTAGTTATGATAGTGGACAGGGGCCAGCAGGTGATGTAGTGGTTAAGGTACTGGACTCCCACATGGCAGACCATGGTTTGAGTCCTAGACTTGGTGGCTTGCTTTCTCTTTCTCTCTCTCTCCCTCGCTCCCTGGTGAGTGTGTGTGCCCTATAGCAAATTAAATAATAATAATAATAACAATAAATAAACAAAAAGCATAGTGAACATATTTGTCACTCACTCAGAAAGTGTCCTTGTGGGACCAGCAATTAGTGTAATGGCTATGTCGCTGGACTCCCACATAATCGACCACGGTTTGAGTCCTGGACCCGGTGGCTTGAACTCACGCCGGGCGCGTGTGCATGCGTGCCCAAGATCCCGAGAGGAGAATGGAGGAGAAGGGAATCCGGCGTGGCCATCCCCTCTGGGGGGTGATTTCTTGCTTTCTGTCTCTCTGTCTTTCTCTGTCTGTCTGGTGAGCACACGCGCCCTATAGCAAAACCTCTCCAAAAAAAAAAAAAAAAAAAAAGTGCCCTTGGACCCTTTTAAAAAAAAAAAAAAAAAAAAGTGTCCTTGTGACCCTTTGTAGTCTTTCCCCTTTATCCTTTCTTCTTCAGTCAACCCCAATCTGCTTTCTGCCATTATACAATAGTTTGCATTTTCTATTAATTGAATCCTACTATGTGTACCTTCTTTTTAAAAATTTTTTAGAGTTTTTTATTTATTTATTTTTGTCTTAGGGTGTGTATACTTGTTGGGGGGGAGGGAGAGAGAGAGAGAGACAGACAGACAGACAGACAGACAGAAATAGTGAGAAGGAAAGTGAGAAATTACACCCCCCCACCTCCTCCCCAAGGAGAATGGGGACACCACAATTCCTTCTCCTCCAATTCTCCTCCAGGAAACTTGGGCACGCAATCACATATAACTGGCATGAGTTTCAAGCCGAGTCCAGGACTCAAACTGCGGTCGGCCATGTGGGAGTCCAGTGATGTAACTACTACTCCATCTGCTGGCCCTGTGTATCCTCTTTTCTCTGGCTTCTTTCAGTTACGAAACTCAGCCAAGGCTTTTGCGCATATTCCCCTTTGTTCTTTTGTGTTGTACGGATAGACACAGTTTGTTTATCCATTCACTTACTGATCAACATTTAGGTTCTTCCTAGTTTTGATGATTACACTTAGAACTACTATGAGTATCTATGTACAGACCTTTGTGTGGACATGTTTTCATTTCTCTTGAGTAAATAGCTATGAGAAGAATGGCTGTAACTCTCAAAATTCAGTAATAAGAAAAACTACTTACTTGAAAAAATAAGATGACTGATTTTAACAGACACTTCAACAATAAGAAACAGGAAAAGGAAATAGCACATAAAAAGATGCTCAAAGTTTTTTATCACCAGGGAAATTAATGTATATTAACACCATAGTGTGAATTATTCCACAATGTAATAAAAACCCAATATACACTTATTAGAATGACTAATAAAAAACCCTTGTTAAATTGAGAATGGACAAAGATGAAGAGGAACTGGAACTCTGGTGTAAATGTAAAACTGTACAACTTTTAAACCACTTTTGATGTATAATTTGGCAATTTATTAAGATGTTAAACATACACTTGTCATATAATTGTGCTGCTTTTGAATTTCTTTTTTTCTTTCCTTTTTTTTAATGAATACTTGAAAGGGGCCTTGATGCATTTCTTTCTAGTTAACTCCCCTTTTTTTCCATATTTGCAAGGAAAAGAATGACAAACGTCACTTTCCTCCTGTTTTCTGAGTATGTTTTTTAGATCAAATGAAGGTACATGTCTTCCCCTAGCTTCCCTTCTCTGCAAGTTTTCTTCCTCTATATGCAATTTTGTCCCAAATATACTTAATATGGAGAACTAAAACACATGCTCCTAAGAGGTATCTTAGCTAACAGACAAACACCTTGTGAACACCAGCAGCACACCGCCTGTTCAAATCTCAGCTGGGCATCTACTGGTTATGCTAACAGGAGCAAGTTATTTCATTCTTTTGGTCTCAGTCTCCACATTATTAATTTGGAGACAGCAGCATTTCCTTCTTCCCGTTTTTGTGAGGATTAAATTGATTACTTTATTACTTAATTAATTACATAAAATACTAATACTTAGAGCACTACCTAACCATAATAAGTGTGATAATCTGTGTTACCTTAAAGAAAAACTCAGGTTAATAACTCACACATGGCTTCTACAAATACACTGACAATCCTTTAAAGAACCTATATATTTCCCAGATCATGTATTTTAAAATAGCTTTATCAGAACTTACTGTTTCCAGGGCAAAAGGAGGTATTTTTCTTTCAGTGGCAATAAAAATGGCCCAGAGGGTGATGACAGTGAGTGATAGTAAGAAGAGCGCTTGTTGGATTTGGCTTCTCGTCTGGTATCATCCTAGCAGAGCAGAGAAGTTGTTCAGTGCTGGGCTCTGGACTGGGAACCATCTGGGTTTGAGTTCTGGCTTTGCCACTGTGTGATTGAGCAGGTGAGTGACCTCATTCAGTCTCCACTTCTCCTTTTGTGGAATGGGGACAGTAATAATTTCCTCAACACTGGGAAGTAAGGATTAGGTGACTAAACACACAGAGATCTCAGCATACAGGCATGTTGTCCGATATGATGAGAACTGTGTGAGAGAACCTTCACGGTGGAGGCCCTCAGCACCAAAGTATATTGAACTAAATGGCAGCTGAGCTATCAGTCTGACAAGCTTAGCGTGAGAGGACATGACTGCCAGAAAACACCAACTCGACAACTAGACATGACGAGGAGAACCAATTTAGTTATCTAAGTCTTGAGCAGGGACTCCCATGGAAACAGCACACCATTGTCTACACAGAAGGATAGAAGGCAGACAGTCCCTCAGACTCCAGCCAGGTCTGTTTATCAGAAGGAACAGGCCCTATGTTCACAAACTACCTGTGGCAGTGCAAAGGCCACATCCTCCATTTTCTGCTCAATCCTATCTGTGTGTGTGTGTGTGTGTGTGTGTGTGTGTGTGTGATCATCACAGCATTAGGCAAATTGCCAGAGATAGAAAGAGACAGAGAGAAAGAAAAAAAAAAAAGAAGGCAGTGCTCCGACAGAGCGTGGTTACACAGCAATTTCTTCTCTTTCATTTCTCCATCTTGTCAGGATTTGGTCATGCACACTCATGTACCTGGTGTGTTTTCAAGCTGCCAGGGATGGGTCTCAAACCATAGTTTGCCATGTGAGATATGCTCCCTTAACAATAAGGCTACAGGGCCAGCCCCTGGCAATTCTTCTTCTTCTTTTTATTTTTTTTTTGAAGAGGTTTTTTTTTTTTTTTGCTATAAGGTGCATGTGCTCGCCAGAAAGACAGAGAGAGACAGAGACAGAAAGTGAGAAATCACCCCCCAGGGAGGATGGTCATGCTGCAATCCCTTCTCCTCCATTCTTCTCTTGGGATCTTGGGCATGCACACATGCCTGGCGTGAGTTTAAGCCACTGGGTCGGGGACACGAACCATGGTCAACTACATGGGAGTCCAGCAACGTAGCCATTATGCTAACTGCTGGTCCCTCTTTCTCTTCTTCTTCTTTTTTTATTTTTTAAAATTTATTCATTGTCATTATTTCACTTTAGTTTTTTTTTTTTTTTTCTTCGAGAAAGAGTCAGAGAGAAAGAAGGGAAGTGAGAAAGTAAGCTGCCAGGTCTGGGACTTGAACCACAGTCAGCCATGTGGGAGTCCGGCTGCCTTAACTACCATGCTACCTGTTGTCCCTCTTTTTTTTTTTTTTTTTAAGACTTTACCATAGGGCACAAATACTCACTGGAGAGAGACAGGAGGACCACATTGCAATCCCTTCTCCTCAGTTCCCCTCTCTGGATTCTGGGCACACATGCACACACATATGTGTGCCCAGCATGTTTTATTTTTAATAATTATTATTTCACTTTATTTATTTATTTGTTTGTTTTAATTTGACCAGAGTGCAGGGGGCTAAAAAAGCAAGCCAAAAGGTCTGGGAAGAGAGAGAGAACTGCCAGGTCCGAGACTCGAACCGTGGTCAGCCATGTTGGAGTCCTGTGGCCCTAACCACCATGCCACCTGCCAGCCCTAGCCCCAACCCCAGCATATTTTTTAAACAGTAGGGTCTGAGATATGAACCACACAGTGGCCCA